CCCCCTTGATGTTAAACAGTGCTCCAGTTGGCTAACACAGTAAATACTGACCAGTGATTCAGTGAACACATAGGGTGATATATAGATATGTAACTACATAAACATAAACACAACTGTGAGATTAAAGTATATAGACTTATGTATGCTATATAATAAAAACCCTAACTAATTATATTCATTTCTATCTAAAAATGAAAATCACCCCAACACTATATTCTGACAGGGATGCAAGAGCACACTCACCTCGCCCATGGGCCCAGCTGGGCTGCAGGCTGGCGACAGGCACGCAGTACCCAGTCTGTGCAGTGTGAGAGAGATGAAACAGGCAGCTGCTCCAGTCCTCCACTGTCCTGACTGGACAGTCCTCCAGCCCCGTCACTATGTCACCGACTGACAGGCCCCGGGGGCCGTCAGCTGCAGAGCCCTGGTTGAAAGACACACGCACAAATATAAAAACTGGTTCAGATTGGTCCTAAGGTCACAACAGCATGGTTTGATGGTATTAAATCTACAATCTGGCAACCCAGGAAGAAAGGGGCTGACAAGCACTCATTCTTGTTTCTAACCACTGCCAGTCAGTATGTTCACATGTACTTAAGTTACCCGGTTGCTCAGAGAAATCAAGTTACACAGATAATAGGATTTCTCCTCCACCCCAGACTTATTTGGGTAGCAAGGTTCATGGGTTTTAACCGTCTAATGCTAGAAGATTCTGCTCCTAACTTCTGTTATTTATTTTCATTGCATCTGTGTCAGAGCAGCCTGACGTTACAATGGGAGAAAGACAGGCAGACAGAAAAGAGTACACAGCACAAACTGTCTGAACTTAACAAAACCCTTAAATGCTGAATGGTGGAAATCAACTTAGACTTGTTAAAGAAGTAAATTACAGAGGAGATCATACCTATTCAGAAGATGACAATCTAATTTCCAGATCAAAGAATTAAAATGTTGACTATCTGCACCTCTAAATCTCACTATGTACAAACTCTCCTTTTCTAAAGATGCAAACAAAGTTGTTAAGCTCTGCCAGTCAGGTTAGTGTATTTCTCAAAATGCTGATTATTCCTTTAATCTAGCGACTATAATGCAACCATATAAACAGGTAAATGACACACAGAAACCTGCTGCACTGACCTGCACAACCTCAGTGACCAGTGCCCCAACTCCAGTAGAGTACATGGGAAACAGAAAGATAGGCAACAGGAAGAGGAAGGCCAACGCTGCGACACACAGAACAAAGTTGTGCCACACTCCTATAGAGGAAAAAAAACAGAAAATATCTGTCAACTCTCATGTTTTCACTTACTTTTCTTTTTTTTTACTTATAACAACTTATCTTAATAATAATTAGTTAAACTTAGTTTGAAAAACTACATACTGTAGTTTTTGGTCCATAAAATTTCAGAAACAAGAAATAAATGCCCCTAGTGAGGTCTTAAAATGTCTTGTTTTATCTGACCATTTCAACAATTCAAAACACAGAGATTCAAAGAGGCTGCAACTAGGATAAATCAACAGATTACTTTCACGATTGAGCGATTAGTAGTCTGGTCTATAAAATGGCAAACAGTGAAAAACGCCTGTTTATTTACAACAACTCCAGGAGATATATATGTAATCACATATGACATAAAAATAATCATAATATAGATTCAAATGTATGAATCAACCAATATTAAATAGATAATTGAAGCATTTACTAACTGTTACGCTATACTAACATTATGAGACGATCTTCTGATTAGTATAGCTAGCAGTAATAGTGGTGGTTGCTACAGGTTTGATGGTTCTGATTCAAGCTCCCCTAAAAAAGATGGAGCAGCCTCCTGCAGCACAAACCAGTGTTGCTACTTTTTATAGATGTGTAACATGTCCCAACAGCCTACAATATGTTTACCTGACTGTAATACACAGTAAACTGAGATGAGTTAAACCTACAGTTCATGTCACGTTCACTAGAGGGCACTCCAGTACTATGCAGTGTTGGCAATTTCTACTGCACATTAGAAATAAAAAGCAAAGCAAAGCAAATCAAGAAATGCAGAATGAGATGTGGGAAATGGCAGGAGCTGCTACAAGCTCTGTAGAGGCTGTCAATAGTTAAGACACTAACAGGGTTTCTCCTTCTGCCCTCGGTTTTATTACTTAGGAGATCTGTGGAATACTTTATTTTTGGATTACTCTCAATATCTGGTTTTTGTCTGTGTCTGAAATGACCTTTTTTATTTATTCATTTTTTTAATGAGAAAACATTTACTGGTTCCCACTGATTAACTATAGTGGCTTGTAGAAAACATCAATCACATTCATGCATGTAGCTCAACAAATCAGTTCATTAAAATCTAATTTTCATAATTTCAGAGTGAAATGATTTGATGTGAAGCAGCTCATGAATAAAATCCCTCAGAGTGACCTTCACTGGCAAAAATGAAAAGGCTTAACAAAATGCTTGCAATGGCTGTGATTAATAGCTATGACCACATTAGCTGGCAAAAATCATCAGGTTTATCCTCTCCAGCTTAAGGACAGATCAACAAACCTCTGGACAAAAAGTCTCACCAGCACAGAAGATACGAAGCTGCTGAGCGGGTGATATGAGGTTGAGGTGTGTGGTGAAGAGGTCCACAAACGCACCAGGGTACATCACAAATACAAACATACCAAAGCCGTTCACCCGCACTTGCTCCCTGCAGGAGACAGAAAAATATTATGAACCCTAAAAGAGGCCCAAACATTTTAAAAGAGAAACAGAACATACTGTAGAGACACTTCATTACATGTAGTAAAGACAGAGGTCAATTCAGTTCAGTTCAATAAATAAAAGAAGATCAATATGTATGTGCTAATAAGCCTAGTTGACAGACTAAATAAAACTATTAAAAATAAGCACAGCATGACATCTGGCACAACAAAACTATTTCTCAGTGGTAAACTCAACAGTAAATTAAAGCAGAAGTTTTAATCTTCAATTACAACTGTTACATTTTTTTATAACAAACAAGTATTTGTTAATGGCAGATAATCTTTTTCTGATCTGTAATCACTATCACTGAATTTGCAATCCAATACTATTTGTACCATTTCCAGATAAGCTAACTCCTCATTTTCAATCTCTACTGAAAGAGTTTTGCACCTGCTGTGAACCAGCTCATAGCAATAATAATAATATTACTAGGATGAGCAGTAAATCTTCAGATCATCAGTCATTCGGGTGATTGATCGGGCGCCATGCTCACACTTGCATATCAAACAACAACTGACTCAGGGATAAAATCAGGCAGAAACCCGTAACTGTTTGGATTCATGGAAATGTGTGTGTGAATACATACCTCAGTGCTGCCACAGCATGGCCTAGCTCATGTATAACTCCACTGAGCAGCAGGGCAATGAAGAAGTAAGCCAGCTGGCTGGTGGGTAGATTGACACCAGGGACCTGAAGACACACCCAAGACCAAAAACAGAAGAGCAATGCACAACTGTGACTGATACAGAAACACAACATCAGTGCCAACAGTCATCCCCTGCTTCAGGGATTCCTTGCCTCTTTGATATTATGAATATTTTAGCCATTTATTACAAGGATATCTGCACATTTGGCAAATAAACTCTCCATTTATATCCCTAAGATGTGTTTCAATTGTCATTCCCAGTCCTTTTTGTCTCCTTTTCCATATTAACCATTTCATATACTGCTGAGGGTTTTCTATGTGATCAGCATTTCCTCCTACAAAGGTTTCTGCCACTCCAGGCTGAATACTTGGTAGTCAATGGGCTGTTAATAGCTTTCCATGAATCAACTTCAGTGGTCCACTGCACAGCTACTTGACACCTCAATGAATATAAAGCGAACAGGAGGAAAATGCTAAATAAGAGCCCCCCCCTCTTAATTGCGGGCTTTTTGTCACTCACTCGTGAATTTTACAGGCCTTGTGTAACTGTCAAGGACATTTATGCACTGATTATGTTTAACTCTGTACGGTGTCGTCATCGGTGTGTGAATGTGTGTGTGAATGGGTGAATGTGTATGATCTCCTGTAAAGCGCTTTGGCCAGTGTAACACACTGTGAAATATGTGCTATATAAATACAGTCCATTTACCATTTAAAGTAAATACTTGATCAAAATTGGAATATTTGACATTATGCCTACCTTTATGTTTTGCAACCACAGTCTGAAACATTTTCATGTTTTAAAGGAACAGAAAAACTTGTCAATAAAGCATCCTCTGTTCACAGTATGAGAATTTTAATTGATACACTGAGCGTGAATGGTTTGTAAAAACTAATACATTTGGAAACCTCGCAGATTTCTAGTGTTGTATATACATACCACCACCTGTAGAGCCTGCTGACCACCTATCCTAGGGTTGTCTGTGGTCATCTGAGCAAGTGTCTGCTGCAGCGTCTTTATCAGCAGCACCACAG